TCTAAGCGGTGGCTAGAAAATAATCCCGTTTTCTCACCAGCCTGACATTTCACAGCGCGTGAAAGCGTGGTCCTGGGCAGCTCCACCAGCCTCTCTGTCGCTGTCGCCCACTCACATAGCCCTGCTTTTGCCTGTCTTTCCAGATTTCTTTTGACCTTGCCGAGTACACAGCCGACGTCGATGGGGTTGGCACTCTACGGCTTCTGGATGCAGTGAAGACCTGTGGCCTTATCAACTCAGTGAAGTTCTACCAAGCCTCAACAAGTGAACTTTATGGGAAAGTGCAAGAAATACCCCAGAAGGAGACCACCCCTTTCTATCCTCGGTCACCCTATGGTGAGAACGCATGGACACAAGTGTGTGTGTGTGTGTGTGTGTGTGTGTGCAGCGAGCTCTCTGGGTGTGGCTGTGTTCATGTGTGTGTGTATTTCTGCTTTTATTCTGCTCACGTCTCATGGCTGAAGTCATTAAGGATGTGAGATGAACACCAAGATAGACTAAAGTGACTAGACTTGTTGAGAAGCATGCCTTCATACATTGCGGACGACAAGTATTCACTGCCTTCGCCTGAGGGTGGAATTACCACCTCGCTCCACCGACCAGTGTTCATTCAACCCTTCCATGCAGATCACTTTAAAAGCAAAATTAGACCCAACATGATTCTTTTCCTGAGCTGTTGTCAGATTGGGCCGAAGTGATAAGGTTTCACGTTTTCTGCTTCCCTGATGGAAGTGTCCCTGAACTAAAAACCTTAAAAAGGGGGAAAAAAAAGACATTACATCTAATATATTTGTAATAAGAATATTCATGAAAGACTTGAGTGATACGATTTCAAAGCAATTTGAAAAAAAGTCCTCCCATTTTTTTTCTAATTCCTCTTTTTTTTAAAAAAAAAAAAAAAAAAAAAAGAAGACCTCAGAAAGGTCAGCTTTTCATATACTGCACATACCACAGTGGAATCAATTCGACTGCGAAAGAATGAATTGTGGGTATTACAAAAGTAAGAAATTCTTGGGACCAGCAGTTAGCGTAATGGCTATGTCGCTGAACTCGCACATAATCGACCGCGGTTTGAGTCCCGGACCCGGTGGCTTAAACTCACGCCGGGCATGTGTGCGTGCATGCCCAAGATCCCGAGAGGAGAATGGAGGAGAAGGGACTGTGGTGTGGCCATCCCCCCGGGGGGTGATTTCTCGCTTTCTGGTGGTGAGGGCACCTGCCCTATAGCAAAAACCTCTCCAAAAAAAGAAAAAAAAAAAAGTAAGAAATTCTTAAATACTTCCTTGTGATCATGATGAATTGATACAGGAATCTGTTTAGTCTTTGGCTTTTGATTCACATTTTTTTTCTATGTAGGTGCATTACAAATTGTGATTTTTGCCAGCTGTTGCTATTTAAGATGAGTGAAAATCACTGTCTTTTATAATGAACTTCATTTCCTTTTAAAAAATTATTTCTCCAGGGGCAGCAAAACTCTACGCCTATTGGATCGTGGTGAATTTCCGTGAGGCATACGATCTGTTTGCGGTGAATGGCATTCTCTTCAACCATGAGAGTCCCAGAAGAGGTTAGTAACTGTACTCGTTTAGAATTTTAGACTTCCTGATAAAAAACAAAGTTGATAATGTTTTCTGCATACATACTACAGAGACTGTGAAAAAACTTAGGTCCGCGCTACCTATTGTGAATGTCGTAAGAAGCAGGTGAAGAAATACAAATCCAGCTTTCATCGCTTATCAAGTGTATGGGGATTTTTTTTTTTTTCTAACGATAAAAAACTGAACAGTGTTCTGATTTTATTATTTCATTAGTAGGTCTTATCAAGCATGTTCTTGACCTTAATTATTAGAAAGTTTCCATATCAATGTTGAGGAATAAATAGTCAACTCATGGTTGTCTCTGGAAGTCACTCCTGTTCACAGAGATTAAACTCAGAGACACTGTATTTTTGGCTTGGAGTCAGTTAGATATTCAATGTTCTTTCTTTATAATCTACAAAATAGCATTATCAATCTTTTCTCCCCCCAGAAAGCTGCATCAGTTTTTTCCCGTTCATAGTTGTCCGTGAGACTGTAGCAACACGCCACCTCCCCGTTCTCAGTATCAGGTTTGGAATCAGAAGCAAGTGTGTACTGTCATCGTTACTTCTGATTTACCGAAGCACGAGGAATCTTTACAAAGCATGCACTCTTCACAAAGTAACATTCATCTGTAGAATCTAATTTCAAGATGTTTTCACTCTCACTGTCATCTAGCCTTTCAGTTTTGCGAGTAAATGAGAAGTCCAGTGTTCTAAGTTGGTTCATGCCCAACGACGAGTAATGCCTGTAACTTTTTCAGTGGAATTTTATGTGACTATATAGCCACCTAATTAAACCAACAAGTCATGAAGAAAGATTAAAGTGACAGGTTTATAAAGGTACCTTTAGCGTCAGTACATTTTTATTTTATAATTGCTGAAGTTAAAAATTCCCATGATGGGCGGTTAAGGCATAAGAACCTCACCTGTCATCTCTGCAAGCAGCCAGACAGTTCTTTAATTTGCGGTTCTGGGTGTTGATAGTAAGGGTGAAGGGAAAGGAGGAGCTTCGCTATCCTCGCCTGCAGCATTTGGTGTGTGGGGTGTTCAAGGAATCTGTTCAGTGAGTGGTAATCCCCTCTTCTTTCCTCACAGATGTGTGTATATACATTGTTTGCATTTTATATTCTTCCCCCCTCAACTTTTCCACCTGCAAAAAAATACTAAGAGATAGTTGATAATCAAATGAGGACGAGAAAACCTTTCTTAGGTTGTAGAATAAAAAGATAAATGTATCCCTTCTCCCAAATCCTCTATTCTGCACATCACAACAAGAGCTATTTTCATCTACGTTGATGGTAAACACTTTTAAAAAATTTGGAAAGAATACTTCTTTGTTTCAAAGAAAACTTCAAAGCAGAGGAGGGTATGAGGAGAAAAGAAAAAAGTCTTTTCCCTCTTACTAACTTCCAGTCCTAGATCCAGACCCACTGGGAATAGTCCTTCAGAAATGTGTCATGTTGGGAGCAAGAGATGGAGTATCGGCAACATGACTGGGCTCACATGGGCGAGGGCCCGGGTTCATGTCCTGGGACCTCCAGTGTACGCCAGAGGTGTTCACGCATGTCCATAACCTGAGCTGTTTGAGGCCGAGGATAGCAATGATGATCCGATTGGGAGTGTCTTTCTCTCTCCCCACCTCCTGTCCCTTTCTCTGTTATGGAAGAAATAAACTTAAAAGAAAAAGGAATACCACATGCTCCTTTAAGCATACCGAGTTTTAAGTATATTATGCTGCAACTTTGGACTCCTGGTAAATGTTTCTTAAGAACTTGATGTCAGAGCTTACACCATTTTGTTTTGTTCTACTGTGTACCTGGTAATCAATGACATCTTATATTTTACTTCATTTATATAATCAAATAATAAAAAATGAAAATATTAATAGTTTGATAAGATATATAATACCTAATATTTATAACATTAAAACTTGAAAAATAGTTTTATGTTAAATTAATCTGACACTCTGTTTTGGCAAGATCAATTGTTTTCTAAGTTTGTTTTTTTTTTTTTAAAGAGATTTTTTGCTATAGGGTGTATGTGCTCACTGAAGAGACAGAGAGACAGAAAGCCAGAAGTTACCCCCCACGGGGATGGCCATGCCGCAATCCCTTTTCCTCCAGTCTCCTCTCAGGGTCTGGGCTCTCATGCACACGTGTGCTCGTGAGTTTTAAAGTGCTGGGTCCGGGACTCAAACTGCAGTCAACTATGTTTCAGTTTTCAATGTGAGTGTGAAATTAGTGACTCAGGTTCCCCATAGCTAAGGGGTAGCTTTGAATGCTGAGAGAATTTCCAAGGTCCACATCCCGAAGGAGAAAGCCTGGGCCAAGTGTGTGCTTCGCAGACATTCTCTGCTGCCCGGTGTGGGCAGGCCCGGCTCCCACACGGAGGACACTGACTTCGAGAAGGAGGTTGGTTTATGATTTCCAGCCTTTCGATGAGGATGTTTTTCTTACGTTGACTCATCTTGGTCTCTCGGTCATTCGGAAAGTCAGGGCAATGCAGTAACCGCTCCTCCAGAGCTGACTGAGGTCCAGCTCAGCTTCGTGACCTCCTCCATGGGCTGTCCGTCTACCAGCATCGAGTGACACGTGGTGACTGGGTTCCTCCCTGCACATCCTCATCCGGAGTAGGAGTTCATGCTCCGGGCCGACTGTGTATTTTTCCATTTTTCTCCCTCTCTTTTTCTGCTGTTTCTGTTGAGGGTTTAAAAGTGGGGCGTTTACTCAGCTCTGAGTAAGGTAGCGTCTCTTAGGAGGCTTTCTCCTTTCTTTTCCCCTCCGATGTCCGTCCGACCTCTAGCCCACGCTCTCTTCCACTTACCCTGTGTAACCGTGCCACCCTCTCTGTGACCGAGGGCCTCCTAAAGAATCCAGCACTGCCTTCTGCCCTTGGAGAACCTTGCCTCTGTGGCTAGACTCTGCTTTTCTCTAAAATTCCATCAGATCCTGGTAAATACCACTGCGAGGTGGATGGACATGTTCATCCTATTTCGTATTTCAGTCTAAGTCGAGAAAAAGCCTGGCCAGCTGCATTAGAGCAGTGGCAACAACCTTCTGCGATGCCCAGGCCACACGGGAAGGTCCCAGGTTTGCACCCAGAGGTCTCTTGGACGCAGTAGATGCATGTGTATTCCTGGGATTAGCTGAGGCTGGGGACCAGGACTGTGGTGCGAGAATCCTATTGGGAGCACTATTTCAAAACCTGTCTCTCCCTTTTTTCTTCTCAGGTAAACAAAGAGATGGACTTTGGGGGCGGGGGGGACTAAGAAAACAAGAATTGTGGGGTTTTTTTTGTTTTGTTTTGTTTTTTAAGATTTTTGTCATAGGATGCATGAACTCACCAGAGAGAGAGACAGAGAGAACAAGTGAGAAATCACCCCACAGTAGGGATGGTCATACTGCTATCCTTTCTCCTCCGTTCTGCTCTTGGGATACGGAGCACACAGGCACACTTGCCCCGTGTGATTTTCAAGCTGCTGGGTCTGGGACCTGAACCACCATTGGCTACGTGGGAGTCTAACTCCTTAACCACTACGCCACCTGCTGGCTCCAGGAAAAAGAGTTCTTAATCATTTTCTGGTTGAGGAATCACAGTATTAATAGTTTGGCCTTTCTCCTCATTATCAAATGTTGTAATAGTGAAAAGTGTCCCATTTGTCACAGGTGATGTGATTTAATGCCCTCGGGAAACTTCCAGAGACATCTTGACTGACTTAGAACTTTCACATCTCCTTATGAGTACAAGGAAATTCATGTATTAGTTTTTTTCTAATTTTTTTAAAATGTGTATCAAGCCATTAGATTCTGTTGTTTCTTTGAAAGAGTTTCTAGGGAACAGCCAGTTCACATGCGCCTTATGTACCCGCAGAATTCGTGAGGCAGAAAGGAAGCTAGAAGTCATTCCTTCCGAATTTTTTCATCAATGAAGCCCCTGAAGCAGCATGAGATTGGGGTGTCCAAAGTCAGAATCTGACAGATGTCAACACGGAGGCAGAAATTATCTGGGGGAGAGAAATCACATAAACATTGTTAGTATTTGTGTCAATCACAGGCACGAATTTTTGTGTAGAAACTGGAGCCTCTGCTGCAGGTTGGATAATTTGCAATAGAGTAAATGAGGAAGTTGGCAATTTAATGTCTCCATTGCTTTTATTTTTGGTAAAAAAGACATTAGCTAGTTTGATGAAAGGCAGTATTCCAGGCCAGCAGGTGATGTGGTAGTTAAGGCACTGGACTCCCACATGGCCCATCATGGTTTGAGTCCAGAGCTCGCAGCTGGGACATGCTTTCTCAGTTTCCCTTTGTCTGAATCTCTCTGGTGGATGCACATTCCCTATAGCAAAATAAGAAATAATAATAACAGTAAATAAAATTAAATCATTCTTTTTTAAAAAGGCAATATTCTTTTTTGATATTTAATGGAAATAATCATGAAAAGCATTAGTTTGATGATATTAAAATATAAATGCAGGGACCAGCAGTTGGCATAATGGCTATGTCACTGAACTCTCATGTAGTCGACCACAGTTCGAGTCCTGGACCTGGTGACTTAAACTCACTGGTACCTGTGTGTGCATGCCCAAGATCCCAAGAGGAGAATGGAGGAGAGGGGACTGCGGCATGGCCATCCCTCTGGGGGATGATTTCTCACCTTCTGTCTCTCTGTCTTTCTGGAGAGCGCATGTAGTCTATAGCAAAAACCTCTCCAAACAAAAGAAAAATATAGGGGACCAGCAGTTGGCATAATGGCTACGTCACTAGACTCTCATGTAGTCGACCACGATTCGAGTCCCAGACCCAGTGGCTTAAACTCAATGCCGGCCATGTGTGCGTGCGTGCCCAAGATCCTGAGAGGAGAATGGAGGAGAAGGGATTGCAATGTAGCCATCCCCCAGGGGCTGATTTCTCCCTTTCTGTCTATCTGTCTCTCTGGCAAGCGCATGCGCCCTATAGCAAAAACCTCCACCACCACCCCCCCAAATATAT